TATTTTCCGTGCTCTGGAGTGTTCTGCAGTTCCTTCATATGTGGCCTTCGATACCACACTTCCAGCACTTTAGAGTTGGTTTCTTCTCACCAAATTCCATCTCAAGGCATTCACTGGTCTTATCAAATCATCCATTTTATTTTTTCTGCCCTGGGGTATTCTGCAATGTCGTCGTATGTGACCTTCAGCACCACATCTCCAACACCTTAAAGCCAGTCCAGTCTCACTCCTACTTCGTATCAAAGCGTCAACTTGTCAAGGATAAATCATCTAAACGAGCCATCAGTTGATCCACTGGCTCGTGGACTCTCACAGCTCTGACTGGGTAGCGATCTATACTAGGGTTGCTTTCTGTGCTTCCTCGAACTTCATGGCGTACAACAGAGCGCTTTTCAAATCTTTTAACATCCACCATTCGCAGTGCTTTCTGTATTTCAGGGTCCCAGGATGGCCATCTGATGAAATATTGCAGTGGACAGGAATTTCTCTTGTTTCTGTCAGGGCACTCCGAAAAGGCGTGATGTGACAAACTTTCAACATCCGTGGTGAGCTCCAGATTTGTTTCGGTTGGCTTCTGTTGGCGGGATTTTAATTGAAGCCTACTGTAGTCTTTCAGGCATTTCTCCCTGAAGCACAGCTCCAAAGCGCCGGATAGAGCTTCGAAATCTAGCCTTTGATTTTCAGGAAGCGTCTGCAGGATATCCGCTGCGTCTGCTCTCAGAGAAGCGGCGAGATGACAGGCCTTAGTCTGGGAATCCCATTCGTTCGCTTCCACCACTATTGAAAATTGGGTCTTATACACTTGCCAGGATGTCTTCCCATCATATGTGGATAGCTTCAGAGATCGATGAGCAGGCATCGGTAAGAATTTAAAACTATCAGAATTGCTCCCTGCCATCACTACCATCTTCTTCAAAGTATCAACTTCTTTCGCAATGGCTGAAACCCCTATCATCAATTTGTTGTTCGATGGCAGAAACTCTCTTCTCTATATGTTTTTTTACAGAAGAAACTATTTCTTCTATTTCTTCTTTCACCGAAGAAACTCTTTCTTCAATTTGATCTTTTACGGAAGAAACTTTTTCTTCAATTTGTCCAACTTTATTTTCAACCATGTCCATTCTGTTTTCCATAGCCTCAAATTTGTTTTTCTATTATGCAGGTAATTTCTCTTTTCATTTCCTCTTGACCTGCTTCAATCTTTTCTTGACCGGCTTGAACAGCTTTGATTTCTTTCTTAATGGGTTCTTGGCCAGCATCCATCTTCTCTTTGACTGCTTTCATCTCCTCCTTAATGGATTCCTGGCACAATTTCATCTGTTCCTGTCCCGCTTTCATTTCTTCCTGTCTCGCTCTCATTTCTTCCTGTCCCGCTTTCATTTCTTCCCTAAACAAGGAAAAGGCTGATATCAACTGCCTTAACTGTTCTTCCATCGCTCTTGTTATTGACATTTAAACTCCACTCCTGACACCAAAAATTGTAGCGTGCGTACGGGTTCGTTATTAAATGAATGCACAAGTCCGATGAAAAATGGAGAAACTTTATTATTATCACATCAACGTGCTGTCCAATTTGCACATGAAGAAAAGGATATTGTCATTGGAAAATTTCAATTTTCTTTCACTATAACCGTAACCATGAGAGCTCTATTGTTTTAAGTCCTCACAACCTCAAGCACATACCTTCCAATATCTAAAATTTCATTTTGATTAGTTCAGTGGATAACTCAGTAGGAACTCGTATATCAGTGAAGCCTTTTTTATGCTCACCTTGTAAATGTATGCATTTAATTATTCTAACTGTTCTTTTCTTTTATATAAGGAGGGTGTTTACACATTTTTAGAACAATTTCAATAAAAAATTTTAAATAAAGCAAATGCTTTGGAATAAAAATTTCTGGCAACAACATATGTTACTTGAAATGAGAAGTATCATTTGGTGGTTTTAAATTTATTCTTTCAAAATGTTGCATGTAAACAAGCTTTGAATTGAAGGATATGTTTTTGTGCTCTCTAAAGAGAAATATTCCTATTTCATAATTGAAAATGTTATGAAATGCATGGTTTTATAATTTCTAAGCACAAAATAAACAACATTATTGATAGATAAGAGAAAAATATTCAATCATTAATTTGACATGGAAAAAGATTCCGAATAAAAACGAAAAAATTGTACATGCTATTTCTAATGTTAAATAGTTAGTAACAAGAGAAAAACAGAGATGAATTGCAAAATCTTTAAACACAACCAAGCTACAACAAATAAAATAATAAATCAAGATTTACAACTTAAAAAAAGTTAAAACACAATGTTCTTCAGCTTTTGCTGAAGCATGTTGTTCAACACAGAACAATTTGTAGAATCCTGTATGAAAACTGTTTATCAGAAAATAAATGGAAATACTTTGTATACCTTGACGAGGCATAGCTTTACCTAAATGAAAGGAAACTAAAAAAGGTCTACTCCTTATTGAAAATAAAAAGAAAAAAATGCATAAATCTGATTCCGTCAATGTAAAGAAAGTTTCAGTAAGGATTATGATTGCTGGACTAAAAATAGAAAAGTGGAAAAAAATGTGAAAAGCAACTCAACACACTATCAAGAGAAAGTTTCACATCCAATATTTACAGAAGAAATTCCATTTCTTTATCCAAATGACTTTCAAAGTGCGAAATGCCATCAAGTCACATTTTAAAAAGTATCTCTGCATTCCTTAAAAAAAACAAGGACTGATACTGTTATTGCATATGTATACTGTGAAAAAAAATGGGGTAAAAATATACAGGTACCCCTTGGTGAAAATTAGCGGTACATGGATACCAAGTTTGTGCAATTCTTTGACTTGTTGGTTTGGCTTGTGTAGCCATCAGGCCATCAGCAGTATTGTTATGAAACAAATAAATGGTTTTTGATGACCATTCAAAACAAAACTGTAAAAACTTATTCACATAATTACAAATAATGTGACCAACAGCTCATCATTTGGACTTGTGCATCATTTGGATTGTTGGAAAGAATATTCTACATCAGGTCTTGGCAACACGCGGCTCATTGAGAAATCCATTTCATAATTTTAAATGACCCACTTAATATGTGAAAATAAAGTGCAACATATAAAAATAAATATGAAATGAACACTTGAAAAATACATGAAAAATAAACTGAAAATAAATAGTAACAATAATGTTTTTATTTGATCATAAAGTTGCAATAATGAACATGTATTTTTATTTTTAAAAAATATAAATTGTAACAATTTCAAGGAGTAATTTATCAGTTTGGCAACACCAATCCATAATTACATGAAAGACATCTGGTAAGACTAATGTTATTATGTCAGTTCTCTTAGCTCACTCTCAGTTGTAGCACTTGTTCATAAGTGCAAGAATGATTTCAGTAATGAAAAAAATTGTCTTTTTGTCTGCATTTGGTTGAATATATAAATGTGAGTAAATATTTTCACACATGAAATTTATTTAAAGTAAGAACAGGAGCAGCTTAAGTACCAAAAATTCTGTATTCATCTTAAGATGACCGACTATAACCCAGACTTGACTAAACTGATGTAGCACGTTCAAACTTAGGGTAAATATTGACATTGAAAAGAAAAATACAGTTAACTCAGTTATATTTATTTTTATAGTAATTAAAATTATAAATTTAATTTTTATGTTTAAACTATATTATAATTATTTTCTCAATAAAATTTATCTTACTATTCACAAAAAAAGGGACTGTTTTAAAATGAAAATACCCAAAACATCTTGATGCACATTTTGGTTGAGTTTGACTGGCAGCCAAATATGGTTGCTGATGCTTGTTTTATACAACAGCAGACAGATTACCAAAAGATTTTATTACCAAAAAAATTCCCAATATGGAACAAATTAATTGCCAAGAAAATGTGATTTGGGAGATACCAATAAGTATCATCTTTCACACTGTTCAACTGAAAATCTGGCTAATCTTTGGAATATGGTAACAGGTAGTTTGGCGACATTTTGGTAAGGCGATAAAAGTTACTAGCTAGGACTTAAAGTTACTAGCTAGGCAGTGTAAATGGATAAAGTCAAGAGTGTGCGCAATGCCATTTTTGTGCAATTCTGGTATTTTTTTTTAAGTGAAAATAGGTCGACGTGTACATGGATACCGTGTATGTGCAATTCTTAAAAACGCGTCAAGCAGTTTGCGATTTTTCACTTTCTCTCAATTTCGCACCTAATCTTCGTCGTGATTAAGCACTTTTGTTCCATAAAAGTTCTAGCATAAGCGTAATTTAGCTAGCAGATTGTTGGAAAAAAATGTTGAGTTGGAGGGGGGGAAGGCCTTTACTTCGTGAAAACAAAAACTAGCAGTTTGCTGTAGCAGGGTTGGTCGCCAAATTTTTGTCAAAAAATCGCCAAGTTACCATAATCCAAAGATTAACCGAAAATCTCTCAATTGCTAAACAATAGACAACAAGCAGTAATCCTTACTTAGATAAAAATTTAGCCAAGAAAGCAAAAGCAAATACATTAATTGCCAGATGGGGGAAAATGAAATTTACCACATCATAAAGCAGAGCAGAAAAATTCAACAATGAAGAATTTTTACCATTTTTAAATTGAACTGTTATTAAGAAAGGTAAAATCCTAGTATACGGTGCAGCCTTGGCGCGATTTTGAAAATTATCGCCAACACTAAAATTACCTGTTTAACTACTCATTGTATATGTCCCGTTTACTGCTCATCATAAAGTAGCCAAAAATAGCCAAATCCCTTGTGCACTGGATACTAGGATTAAACCTTAAGAAATAATAAAAAATTATCCAAGAAAGCAGAAACTTAAATAGTAAGACATAGTACAGAAAATTATTTTTAGAAGGGAGGATTTTCTTTTTCTTCTTCTATTTTTTTAAATGTAAGTTATTTGTACAGGAATAATATTGAACAAATAATACTGTACGATAGTGGTGCAATTAATTAATTTAAAGTGTAAACTGTTCAACAGGAAACTTACTTCACCCAATCATTTGATTGAAGAGCAAGTTCTACCATTTTGCATCTATGTTTTGCAGAAATCAATTCTTTCTTGCCATATCCATCATTTACTGGAGAAATAATACCACCAACAACTTCAAATAATCCAGTTTTATGCAAATAATCTTTTGCTAACTCTAAAAGAAAAATATATCGATTTCACAAAAAATATTAATATAGCTAAAAAATCAACAATTTGACAGATACATTCATTAATTACATGATTATCACTTTAAATTATAAATAAAAAGATGATGAATAAAATTTGGGTACTGTTCTGTTTTTGGGCTTAGAGCCAGATATCGCCAAAAGCTGACAATTTGGTGAAAAATTCAAAGCATAAAAATAATTGCCAAAATATTTACAATTTAGTTCAGCATTTGGCCAAAATATTTACAAATGGGATTGAAAAAAAAATCCAAGAGAAAAAATAACATACCAAATATATGACAAATAGAAATATATAACAAATTAGAAATTATTAATGTAAAAAATGTAAATTAAATTATCTTTAAATAATTTGATGTTAGCAATAACAAATATGTTTCATTTGAAATATGAGTAGTCATGCCATTTGAACCAAATACTTAATTCGCATATAAAAATGAACAAACCACTAGATCAACCCTATATAACTGTTAGATCATAACTACATAACTAGATAGAAAAAAGGTAGAGGGAGTTAAATTTTCATCATATAGTGACAGCACAATTAAATCCCAAATAATAATTTTCTGTTTACCTAAGTTATCCATGAAAATATGAGAATTTTTAATGCACTAAACTTAACTCTGTCTATTTAAATACTAATACAAGTGAAACCAGCAGTGTTGAAATGAAATAAAAATAAATATAATCAACACTATTATCAAAATTAAAATGATGTTACTGAAATAAATACGATTTCATTCGTATCAACAATGCATCCCATAAATGTTTTTTAATATCTTATTCCTTCAGTTTATGAATAACAATAATATAAATGTGCAAATTAACTTCTTCGTAGCTCTCAAAACACAGCCGGTGGCTGTCTATTAATTTTTTAAGAGAGAAATTTCTATGACAAATTAAACTTGAGACATAACATCTATAAATGTTTAAGGAAGGCTCTTGCTGAAATTCAACTTTTATGATGAAAATGAATCATTTTCCTCACCAAATACAATGGATTAATTTAAAAAAAGTTATGCACTTACTACAAAACATAATAAAATCATTAAAAATATTTGGTTCTTTCTGATTATCTGCACACCTACAAAAAGCTGCCATTTAATTGGTGACTTAATGAAAGAAAAACATTTACGACATTATAAACACAGAAACTCTTCAGGAAAAAACATTTGTTTGTCTACCTTTGTGACTCATAAATATCATTCTACTGCTAGTAAATATTAAAAGAAGCATTTTATAAGAACAAGAAATGTTTATGGTTACACTCAATCCAGTTTCCAATGCTAATCACAGTATATTTGAAAAGCAATTGTACATCTAAACAGAGAGTTAACACAACAATAACATTTCTAAGAAGGCAACTATATATTTATATAATTGTATCTAATATAAAACGGAAAAATACTTTCTGCATGAAAAAAGATTACAACTCTTCTTAGATTCTTTCTTAAAAGAAACAATTTCTATTCTTAGTTATTGTTTAAAGTAGGAATTCTCTCTTATCTGAGAGGACTAGTTTGTGCTTTCATTTTCCTGAATAAAATTTCAATTTTCCCCCGACTTTTCCAGGTGATCGGAAACACATCCAAGTAAATTATATTATACACTCTTAATTTTTATTCTCTCAAGGAAAAAATTCTTAAAAACTACTTTAAATGATTAACTGGAAACTAGAGACATAAATTAATAATGTTAAAAAACGGTGAAATATAGAATAAAACTCTAGAATATTAAATAACGTATTATCTGTTAGCAAAAACAAACTCACCAAACATTCGAAGATGCATATTAGTTATGGGGTTGAAAGAGCCACAACTTAGCAATAATACTCGTCTTTTAGTCCCCATACTAAAGCGGTTTAGATATAACATCTGAAAGTGAAATGTTAATGGTGAATACGCTCATGTGTGCAAGTGAAACTCACACAAAATCAATAACTCAAGATGTTGCTCGTAAGAGAAAATTAAACTTCAGGTTAAAACCCCAAAAATGTGCAAATTCTAAACTCTTTTATCTTTTTGAGATGTGTGTTAAATACTTAAGGGTAAGTGCATGATATACATTCACGGGATTTTTTTTTAATACATATTAATTCCCAGTGCCGCAATTTTGCGCAAAATAGATAAAGGAAATGTAAATGGCAACCATTCAGACAACTTTGGCATCTTTCATATCAGTTGCTTTTTTTTTATTCATTTTATTCAGAGTATACGGGATTTGGCGATATTATGAATAAGCAGTAAACGCGATATTTATTAAGGCTTCTCTTAGATACTTAATTTGTATGATACTGGGTTTCTACTGCACTCAGGCCAATGCCAATGATTTAAAAATTTCGGAGTTCCTATGGTTCAAAACCATCTACCTCCACATCAGAATTAATAAAAGCGAGCAGAAATAAGAAAAATTTGGCATAAGTGATTTACTTGATGCACACTAGAGGGAGCCACAGGCTCGAGAGAGTTTAGGGATAGAGATGAGAAATAAAAACTTAAGTTTCATAATTTTTTTTATAAGTTTTTTGGTTTTTAAAATTTTTTTGTATTTTATATTTTATACTTTTTTTGGTTTTTTATAATTTTATATACACAGTACAAACACTAAAGCAAAAAGCGGATAGGAAAGATTTTACGATTAATAGGCTCATTGGCATGTGGCTTGTGTTAGGGAGTGCAAATAATTATAGAGATCGCGATGAAAATATTCTTAGGCAGATTTGAAATCTGCGGGAGATGTGATTCTTAAGTAAACAGATTGATAACTTTGCTTGAAGATCTTGATAGTGGTTGCAGAAGATGTAATAAGCAATTATATGGCAGCTCGCTGAAGAGACGTCCTTCCTTCATGGCGCGGGAGCTGGAACTGATGTTGAGAGGGCGTGTCTTGCCCTTTTGGATGGAGGGTAGATGCCGAACTCTCGGCCAATCACGGCTCTCGGTCTCTTCTGTGAGCTGCGAATAGCAGGATCGTATGCTGGAATCCGCTGAAGTGCTCGGTTATCAATCTGTTCAATTTTGAGGAATAAATTTTGACTAAGCTTTTTAATATGGTAATCTACAGGTTTAATATTTAGGTCCGAATGAATCACATCTGTACGGACGTACCAGGCTGCATTCAGGGCCATACGTAGGGTCTTTACTTTGAAAAGATTGAAGTTTTTTCACATGAGTTTTTGCAGCAGTACCCCAGATTGTACATGCATACATGAAGACAGGTCTTATAATTGATGTATAGAGAAGAATTTTGTTTTTAATTGACAGTTGGCTCTTCCGAGCTAAAAATGGGTAAAGTTGGGCTCTAGCACCTTTCGCTTTATTGAGAACACTTTCAATGTGAAGGCGCCAGGTTAATTTTGAATCAAGTACAACTCCTAGGTACTTGTAAGAGTTTGACCAGGGAACATAGTCGTCAAAGAATTTAATATTAATGGAAGGGTACGGGAGGGGGCTACGTTTGAATATCATAGCAGCACATTTAGCAACATTAATTTTTATTTTCCAAGTGATGAGCCAGTGCTCAAGGCTAGAGAGATAACTCTGAATGTTTTGGACCAAGTTTTCCAAGGCGTTTGTGTTGAGCTAGGATGGCCGTATCATCTGCATAAAGTGCAAGAGTGATACTTGGTGATTTTGGTATGTCATTTATGAAAATGTTGAACAAAATTGGGCCTAAAAGTGACCCTTGGGGGACGCCGCTTAGTATAGGACGGGGTGTCGAAATGATAGAATTAACTCGTACAGAAAAAGATCTATTAGTGAGGTACGAATTAATTATATGAATTAAATGGGCCGAAACGTCAAGTCGTATGAGCTTGATAATAATTCCTATATGCCAAGTCCTATCAAATGCTTTGGCTATGTCAAGAAATAAAGCGCCAGTAAGCATTTTGTTACGAAACCCTTCGTGAATGAACTCCACTGTCCTCAGCAGCTGGTGCGTGGTGCAGTGTTTTGCTCGAAATCCAAATTGTTCATCAATCAGAACGTTGTGATTTCGGAGAAAATCATTCAGGCGTTTAAGTAACACAAACTCGTATATCTTAGATAACGAGGATAGGAGGCTGATAGGTCTATAATTTTGAGGGTTAGAAAGGCTTTGGCCTGGTTTTGGAATAGGCACAATAAGTGCTTGTTTCCAGCTTTGAGGAAAATAGCAATGCTGTATCATAAAATTTATAAGCATTACTAAGAAAAATAGATAATGGGTGGGTAAATTTTTAATCATACGATTAGAAATAGAGTCCATACCAGGGGCTTTTTTGGGTTTGAGCTTGGTAATGTATTCACTTACTTACCTCGCTCATGGATGTATATTGTATTTCTCTCGCAAAAGGCGAGGAGAGGAAACGTTCAACATCTTGTGGGAAAGAACTTGCGCTGTTCGCAAAAATTCCTTCATTATGTGGTGTAAATTGAGTTTGAAGAGAATCCGCAATTAATTCGGATTTCTCAGCGTCTGTGTGAGCCACCGCTGCGTCCGTAGCTAAGGACGGAATGTTAGATTTGTGTTTGCGTAGGCGGGCTGATGCGCGCCAAAGACTGTTATCATTGGTCGTTAAGGGACTGAATGTAATTCGTGTATTGTGATTGGAAGAACTGGTCACATGATGCCTTGATCTCATTTTGGAGAGTACGGAGTTGAATTTTTAAGCCAGGATTTCTATTTCTTTGCCAAAGTCTCCGTACTTTATTTTTCTTTTCTTTAATTTTGAGTTTAATTTCTTGAGGTATTTTTACGAAAATTGGGTCTGAGGGTGGGTTTTGATACTTCCTTATAAGTATCAGTTAGGGGGTTCGTTAAGTGATCTACTGCTTTGTCAATATCATGGCTGGATTTAATTTCGAAGGGAGGGTATGCTTTTAGAATTTAATTTGAAAGCGAAAATTGTCCCAATTTGTAGAGACGAGTGCCGGAAAATTTTGAGTAAAAATAGTACAGCTAAGGTCATGGTTACGGGGTTGTGATCTGATGATAAACAATTTTCAACAGTCACTTGATATCCAAAAGGGATGTTTCTAAAGAGTGCCAAATCTATAAAAGAGGGGGCACCCCGTGAACCATATCTAGTAGGGGAATCCGGCGCAATGATTTTAATTTGGGCGCACTGAGCCCATTTTAGGAGGCCACGACCAGCAGGGTTTGATCTATGGCAACGCCAATGCTGGTGGTGACAATTTAAATCACCAGCTATGATAAGATTATTTGAAAAATTGAGCAGTTTATTAAAATCGACCACAGGAAAATTTCCACCTGGTGGAAGATAGGCAGAGATCAGGACTAGGGATGGTGAATTTTGAATAAAAATTTCGATAATTGTTGCTTCAAGTTTGCTCATATTTGGAGTGTCAATTCTGCGATGCGGGATTGAATTTTTTATGTAGATACAAGTGCCACCATGATAAACATCACGTGTATTCGAAGCTTGCCTGTCATTTTTATAAAGTGCATAATTTACAAGCTTGGGAGCTCTCCCTGGCTGGAGTTTGGTCTCTTGGACAAAAATGATATCAAAATCCTTCTCTTCTACATAGTCTCTAAACTCATGGAATTTGGAAAGAATGCCATTTGCATTCCAGGTGCATAGTTTTAGATTTTTCAACCCTTTCAAGGTATTGAATTTTAATGAATGTGGGAATCAGAGAATTGGAGAGTAATATAACTCTCAAAGATGTAGTAGGCCGCGTCAGCACCAGATGGAGCCACTCTGAGCTGCGGTAAGGCGTTTTTGAATGCCAAAAGTAATTTGCTCTGGTCAATGCCAGGCTGATTAGAAATTTGGATTATAGCCAAAAGGATCTTCGGTACAATTTAGAGTCGGATTTGCTCCTAAGGGGACCGATAAATTTGGAATAAGTGGGGGTGCAGTCTGTTGCATACCCGTAAGGGCAGCAGAGTAGGATACTCCAGGACGAGTATTATTTGCACTGGGAGTGTGTGCAGCCGGCAGTGTTGGAAATGAGTTATGTTGTATACTAAATTTGTTCGTGTTGCCAACGGTCTGACTGGGTTTTGTACTTGGCTTTGGTGGTTGACGATTTTTGGATCCAGGGAATCTTTGCACTCAGGCAATACTTCCCAGAGATATCCCGAGGGAACCTGGCAGTAATGGTAAATCAAGTAGATCCTGAAGGGCAGGAAATCTTGAGAGGAAGGCTCCTCTATATAGAAGCCTTAATATTTATGATTAGAAATTAACGCTTCAGTTTGGTGTTGGCTACAAGGCCGTATACTACGATTTTGTCAATAAATAAATAAAACTCAGGAAAATAATCTGAAATTTTTCAGATGTCATTTAATTTTAGACGGCATTAATCTGAAAATTGTCAGATTTTAGATTATTCCCAAAGGGGCATTTTTTTCATGTTTAATGTGTTACCTTAATTTAATAAATAACATGTTCTTGGCACACAACCAATATTTAAAACAGCATACCTTTAGAATTTCCGATATAAAATGCAGTTTTTTCTTCGTTCAGTGTCGCCATTGCAAGCTTTAAAATTTTTGAGTTTGTTAATCGAAAGTTCGTTAAAGTTTTGCAAAGTATAAATGGTTATTAAAATTTGCAAAGTATAAGTGGTAAATAAAACGAATTCGAAATTCAAAATTCGGGCTTCCAGGTGCCCATGTTCGGTTGGAGGATTACGTTATTCAACAGGATAATATTTTTCGGCAACAACTGAAAAAGTGAGGCCCAGTTCTTGGCGTCAAAAAAGAATCGCCAAAAAACAAGGGGCAACCAATTGTAAACTTTTACCCTGCGTTATTTCTATGTTATGCTCTTTGATACACCACGCTCTTAAACAAATAGCTATGGCGATGAAGCGAAAATCGCCAAGTACAAGATTCTATAACCCTACGTTTCCTTTTTTAACCAATCGGAGCAAACCGTAGCAGAACTGGACTGTAGGCTTTCTTTTTCGTCGACTGATGGCAGCCACCTGACTTCTTTTACTTTCATCTTTTTGTTTTACTGATGTTTTTCACGTGATACAGATTAAAATGAAGGGCTGCTTCAGAAACTCAAATTCACTATATGTTCTTAGAAGTAGGCTTTAGTTCTTAGTAGACTGTCCTTTTACCATCGATAGAAAAACTTGTGTTATCGATGAGAAATGGCTGATCTATAAGGATTCCTTTTACTCTTTCCTGGAAACCGAAATTGCCCCCCTTTCTATGTACCTTTCTTTCGCACCTAAGCTTGATTTTTCGCTCTTCCATGCAGAAAGACTTATTAGGATGCAATAAAAGTGAGTGTAAAACCAAGGAGGTTAGAATGTGCAAAACAAGACATCTGTCAACTTTGTCTGTCTGTCTGTCATTTATCGATTACGAAGTTTTGAAGGTTTCGGTTTCGTTTATGAACTTTGTTAGAGGAAAGATGAATTTTGCGAAATCTTGGAGCGAATTTAA